TCTAGAGGGGAGGGGGGTGGGAGGATGGGTTAGCCTGGTGGTGGGTATTGAGGAGGCACATTCTGCATGGAGCACTGGGTGTTATGCACAAACAATGAATCATGGAACACTACTTCTAAAACTAATGATGTAACGTATGGGGATTAACATAAGAATAAAAAAAATAATAAAAAATAAACATAGGGGTGCATTAAAAAAAAAAAAAGAGCATGACCAACAAAAGAATTAGATAATTTTCATTTCAAGATCATTAAATATTCTGTGCTTCAAAGGACACCTTCTAAGTGAAAAGACATCCCACCAAATGAAAGAAAATATTTGCAAATCATGAATCTTTTAAGGAACGTCTATCCAAAATATACTGACAACTCAATAATAGGCAACTAACTCAATTTTTAAATGGGCAAAGGATCTGAATAGACATTTCTCCAAAGAAGGTATACAAATGACCAATAATTCTATGAAAAGACACTAAACATCTTTAATGATCGGGGAAAAGCAAATCAAAACCACAATGATATATCACTTCACACCCACTAGAATGGCTATAATTTTAACAAATGGAAAAATAGCTGTTTTCAAGGATGTGGAAAAATTGTAACCCCCAAACTGTATGACTGTCCTCATTATCTAAGAACATTTTTATCACCCCAAGAAGAAACCCTATACCTACCAGCAATCACTCCCAATTTGTCCTAACCCTGCCAACCCTAAGTAACTCTGATTTACTCTCTGTATCTATATACTTGCCTATTCTGGATATTTCTTATAAATGAAACGTGGTCTTCTGTGACTGGCTTCTTCACTCAGCATAATGTTTTCAAGGACTATCTGTGTTGTGGCATGTATTTTTTATTGCCAAATTATATTGTATGGATATACCACATTTTTTTTGTCCATTCATCTATTTATAGGCATTTGGGTTGTTTTCACTTTTGGCTATTGTAAATAATGCTGCAATGAACAATCGTGTGCAAATTTTTGCACAAATATACATTTCCAGTGTTCTTGGGTGTATGTATAGGAGTGGAATTATGGGGTCATACAGTAACTCTATGTTTAATATTGGCCTCAAAGAATGAGTTGGGAAGTTTTTAATGTAATAGCTTTCGGGGACTTATTTTATGTAAGCTTTATACATGTTTCCCTTGATCCATATGGCACTCCTGAAAAAAAAAACCTGTTATCAAGATTTTTGATGATATAGAATATGTTGTGCATAGAGCACACATCATTAGTTCAAGGTCAGAGATGGTAATTTTCAGGACTGGGATTTGAATCTCAGGATTGTCATAATCAGAAGCATACAGTCTTCATAACCAGCCATTTTATTTCACATTTTACTCTCTTCCTCATAGTTCTTTTCTACTCTCATCTCTGTAATAGCTGCATCCATATTCTTCTTTCTTGTCCTAAATAATTCTCATGCAAACTCTTCTTCCATCAAATCCTATTTATTCTACTTTATTTCCTCCATCCTCTTCCACTCATACCAGGATCAGCCAACACTTTAGTATCTTTTAGGGGTTTGGTTTGTTTTTAGCTATTTTTACATTTTAATAGCCATCCTCTGTGTTTTTCTATTAGCACAAACCCACCTTTATATTACTACTGTTGGCTCTCAAGTCACCTTCGTTCACATTCTTATTTTAGGGTGACTATAAATTATACCTATACTTAAATTGCACGTTGACTCTGGGCAAAAATCTTTGGCTTTCACTCCCTTGATTATCCTTTTAGTTTTGTTCCACTGATTTGTGGTGCTAAATATTTTTGAGTATAATAAACTTGACACTAGTTGACGTTTCTCTCCTTTAAGCAACTTGAGGTTTTCTCTGGACACTCGTCTTATTTTATCTTAAAGACACATTTTAGTTTTCTAAATCAATTTTCCCTTAAACATGACTGTCCTGATCTTGGCACATGGGTTCCACGTGATATCACTCTGCTTGACCTCTACTATCTTCATGGCGTTTCCGTTTCCAAAGTTTATCCTTCAAGGTAAGCTCCTAGTCTTCTTGAAGTTATTCTGCTCTGCCTCCTGCCCCCACCATTTCTGGAATCTTTTCTAATAGGCTTCATCAGCTTCTAAGCACCACTTCTCACCTCTGCTTACCAGCTCTCATTCTCTGACATTCTTCTACCTAATGTCAACTGTATTAGGAAGTACTCACATTTATTTTGGAGTTACAGGCTTGTGTGTGTGTGTGTGTGTGTGTGTGTGTGTTTTAGAGAGAGCATCAGCCGGGTCAGGGGGAGGGGCAGGACAGAGAGAGAGAGGGACAGTGAGAATCCCAAGCGGAGGGGGCTGAGCATGGGGCCCGATCTTACAACCCTGAGATCATGACCTCAGCTGAAATCAAGAGTTGGACACACCCAACTTACTGAGCCACCCAAGCATCCCTATGGGCTGAAACTGGGTTTTTCTGTTTTGGTCCCCATTTGTGACTTTTAATTGTTTCCAAGAGGTTAAAGGGGTAGGATTCATATCTAAGCTGTTGTACTGACCATACTAATAAGTCTTTTTTTTTTTTCCAATTGGGGGAGTCAGGAATCAAACCATAGAAGACTGGAGAGGAATAAAATACAACTCCAAATGCTGTAGAAGACTGAAATTGTACACATGAAAACAAGATCTCTAAGGCATTGGAGGGTGTGGGATCCATAGCCATATGCAAGGAACAGAGACATGATCTTATAAAAAAAACATATTTGAAACTATGTGTCAGACCATTTGGTTTGCTTTTTTGATTCTCCAAAAGTCAAGTAAAACTGATGGTACAAGAACATGCACTCCAAGTATCATTAGTTTCCTGATGAAGAAAATGAGGTAACTCATCCAAATTCACATATCGCCTTACACACATTGGGGCCATCGTCTGAGTCACCACTATTACATACACACACACACACACACACACAGCCTGACACTCCAGACAACCTGCCATCAGCCCCCTTCCAAGCTTCTGGATTACTCACCTTCAGTTTTTCTTGTGGGATTCAGGCTGAGACACCCAGGTTTCTGTTCCCTGAGCAGTGTCCAGGTCCTGCTACACACTCATCCACTGAGGAAGGCAAAAATGGCAATTTAGTCAATCAATCCCAGGTCCCAGGTCCCAGGTCCCAGGTCTCAGTAGGTTACGTGAAAATTAGTAAGGGGAAAACTCACTAAAGTAGAGTCAGGAGGCTAGAAGAGGGTCTGTCAATTATAGGAAGAATTGTCAATTAAGGACCCTCAACAGGAAAGAATGTAAATTACAGGCCCCAAAGGGGAAAGATGTACATTGCATCACCTACAAGAAACTGACTACCCCTGCAGTTTGGCAATGATAAATCATTATCACCCTGGTTTTCTCCAACGGATTTTCCTTCAAAACAACTTCCTAACTTCCTCCTTCTTTTCCATGAAAGAGTTGTTCCTCTCCTTTGTTTGCTGGACTTGCTTACCATTTTGGCAGAACACTCTCCTCCTGAATTGCAATTCTGTTATTCCCAACAAACCCATTTTGGTGGTAAAGTAATTGACAGTTTTATTTTTAAGGTTAACACATACAAGTTCTAAAAGAGTCTTGGGTGAGGCTCCACTCTTCACTGTGGGCAAGCTTAGCACAGTCAACTAAGACAAGCTACATGAGAGGTAGCTTCACCCTTTCCACCTCTAGACTACATTTCCCAGAAGTTCTTGCGGCTCTAATCAAGTTCCATGGGAACGCGGCAACCTTTTTCTATTTCTTCGGAAACATGTGGCTCCCAGGCACTGGCAGGGCCCATGGAGGAAGCGTACTCCAGGATGTGTGGGCTGTCTCCCGTGGGAACCCGACTCGGAGACTGCGTTTGGATCTGGAAGACCCCTTGCAGCGATCTGGAGAGGGGAACAGGGCTATCGGCTTGGCTCAGGTTTATGCGCCGGCAGGAAATCGAAGCGCCAGGCGCCATCTTGTCTGAGCCGACCTGCTTCCGGACTACATTTCCCAGAGGCCTCCGGAGTGTTCGGGCCGCTCCTTCACTCGCTTGCCCGATTCTCGGCCTCCCGGTAAGGGGAATTACAAGGTGAGCGGCCTGAGTCTTGGGGGCTCGACTAGGCTGCGCACGTGCGTCCGTGGGTTGGGGAGGAGCAGCCTGAAGGGGTGGTCTGGGCGGGTCTGGAATCTCCGGCGCGTGTGAGTTCGTCGGACTGGGGGAAGGGACAAGACGAACAGGATTCCGTGTGTGCGGCTGTGACCTTATGTGACTGTACGGCGCTCCGTGTAGGGGTGTGATTGTCTGTCCCTGTGGTGGGTGTGTCATTGCGACTGACCATGCGCGGACCTCTGTTTACAGGTGTGGCTGGATATCCCTGTTGTAGGTGTGTGGTTCTGACTGTGCGGCTCTGTGTGTGTAAGGTGTGACTGTCCCCATGGAGGGTCTGTGAGTGTGTGCGTTCATTTTGTGTGATATTGTGTGTAGGAGGTGGGGAGTGTACAGAATCTGATTATGCGGCCATGACTGTTATCTGAGGATTGTATGTGTGGTTGTGGTTGTGGTTGTGTTAGCAACCTAAGCCTTTGTGAGGACGTGTGAGTGGGAACATGTAACTTTTTGTGGCACCGTGTGTGCAGTTGGAGGGTGCCAGTAATTGTTGCCAGAGTGGCAGTGTGTGTTGTCCCAGTAGTTGTGTGAGATCAAGACAAGATTTTGGTTTTGGACAGCAGAGATTTCTTCCCTTCTGACATGCTCAGATTGGAATGCTGTGAACAGCCTAGACTCCATCCCTCCTCTCCATGGGTAGTAGGTATGAGTCCAGAGCTACTACTGCTCTGGTCAGTCTAGGCCACAAGAAAGGCCTGGCATCTCACGATTCCTTTCTCCTTCCTCAGCTCTGCTCTTCTCAGATAGGTCCCCAGAGGAAGGAGGAGGAATGGCTGTTGAGGAAGCCAAATAGAAGGTGCGAGGGGGTATCCTTTTTAAGCTTTTCTTCTTCTGGATGGCCTTGTTTAACATAGAGTCATCTATGTGACCTGGACAAATTTCCATTAAAGAAAATGTTGGGAAGCTTTAGGGGTGGGCACACAAATCCCAACATTTCCCCTCATTTCCTTCTACATAGTGTTCACGTACTAATTTAGAAAATAGCTCAATTTCTCCAATGTTATTAAGCTTTTGCTTCTTTTTCAACACACACATAGACACACACATAGACACGTACACATGATTATTTTAAATAATTTGGAAAATGGGAAGTTATAGAGAGCAAAAGTAAACTTAAACTACTACACAGATATAACCATTGTCAATATATTGATTGATTTCCTTCTAACACATTTCCTGTGTTCATACAGTATACGTTATTTTCAAGATCAGAATCTCATAGCATTTATCATTTCAAATTTTTATCTTTTCACTAAAATTTATAGCTATTATATAATTAGTTTTTCCTTGGTTAAAAATTCCTGAATATTACATACATACACAAAAGTGTTTAAAATATAGACATACAGTTTAAGAATTATAAAGGGAACCTCTATATGACAAAAACTTGTGTCAGCCCTCCAGAAGCCTCTGTTCTTCCTGCCCCAAGAATAAACCTATACTCTTCACCTCTTTAGGTAACCCTAATTCTGACTTTGGTGATAATGTATTTTCTTGTTGGTGTTTTAAAAAAAAAAACAACAAACAAACAGTTTATTGTATATCTACACATCCCTAAGTAATATAGTTTAGTTTTGTCTTTTTAACTTTACAGAAATGAAATTGTGCTGGGTAATGTTTTGAGTCTTGTTGTTTTTTGTGCTGGGTAATGTTTTGAGTCTTGTTGTTTTTTTTTTTTTTCCACACAATATTGTATTTCTTAGGCTTATCCTTATTGTTATAAACCACAGCTATATATTTGGACGTTGGTTGTTTCTTGTTTTGGGCTCACTTGAAAGGGCTGCTCTAAACATGTTTTTATAAGTACTCTGGTGCACATGTGCATGCTTTCCTAGGGTATAAACATGCAAATCAATTGCCAGGCCATAGGATATGTGTGTATCTTCAAATTTCCTAGATAATACTGAACTGGTTTTCAATATGGTTGTACCAGTTAAATTCTTACCAGCAGTTTATCAACATAGTCATCTGTATTCTAATACTTGGTCACTTGGTATTTTAATTTTTTTTATTTGCTGATACAAAGTATCAGTACAAAGTATAACATACATTCCAAAAGTACAGAAATCAAAATATGTGACTTGATGAATTTTTTAAAATGAGCAAATTCATTTAACCAGATCTCAAATCAGATTAGGAAATAGAACATTACCAGCATTCTAGAAGCCTAATTCTTGTCCCATCCATTCACTACTCACCTCTCCCAAAGATAACCATCACTCTATCTTCTACAGCCTACGCTGTATAGATTAATTTTGTCTGTTCTGGAATTTCATATAAATAGTATCACACAATTTGTGCTTGGCTTTTTTTAACATTGTATTTCACAGGTAATAATGAGTATAATATGTAATAATATTATGTAGTATGAATATGCAGGATTCATCCATGTTGCATCATGTTGTGGATCATTCATTATTATTGCTGTTTAAAATTCCATTGTATGACTATAACACAGTTTATTTATCCATTCCATCATTGATTGGCATTTGAGTTGTTTTCAAGATTTCAGATTGGGGCTATTATGGAAAAGGCTACTCTAAACATTCTTCATGTCTTTTGGTGCACATATAAATGCATTCTGTTGGGTATACCCCTAGGAGTGAAATACTTATGTTGTAGGTTATGCATATATTCAGCATTAATATACACTGGTAGTTTTCCTAAATGATTGTATCAATTTACATTCCTACTTAATTGTATGAGAACAGACTTTAGAACAGAAGCTTTGCCAGGAAGAGCAATAATTTATAATAAAAAGGTTAGTCCACCAATAAGATATTATAGTCCTAAATGTACATACCTTTGTAAAATGTTTCAAATCTATTTGACAGAATTAAAAGATGTAGTGGACAAAACACAATCATAGTAGGGGATTTTTAGCATTTTTTTCACTTTTCACAGCACTTTTCACTGATAGAACAATCAATATATGCCCAGTAAAGCTATATAATATTAGAATGGTATAATTGACAAACGACATAACTGTCATATGTGGAACAGTGTATCTTACAACTACAGTATATATTATTTTCAGATGCTTATGAGACTTTATTCATATTAATCACATGCTGGACCATAAAGGAATCTCAATAAATTTTAAAGGACTGAAATAATGTTTTCTGACCACACTGGAATTCAGCCAGATGTCAATAACAAAAAGATGCCTAGAAATGTCCTTAATATTTGGGATTTAAGCAATGAATTTATAAATAACTGGTGACTCAAAGAAGAAATTGCAATGGAAATTAGAAAAAATTTTAACTATATGATAATAAAAATATATCAAAATGTGTGGCATTGCTAAAGCTGAACCTGAGGAAAATACATAGCTATAAATGCATAAGCTAATAAAGAAGAATGTTGAAAAATTAATTATGTATTCATCTCAAGCTGTTTTTTTAAAAGATTTTTTATTTATTTGAGAGCACAAGAGAACGGGGGGAGGAGCAGAGGGAGAGGGACAAGCAGACTCCAACTGAGTACGGAGCCTGACATGGGGCCTGATCTCATGACCCTGAGACCATGACCTGAGCTGAAACCAATAGTCGTATGCTTAACCGACTGAGCCACCCAGGTGCCCCCATTTCAAGATGTTAAGACAAAGTATACTAAATTAAATCCAAAGAAAGCAAAAAAAATGGGAAATAATAATAGAGCTCAAATAAAAATTTATATATATTGGAATATAAAATGAATGTACAACAGAGAAAATTAACAAAGCCAGAAATTTAGTTTTGGGAATTAATAAAACTGATAAACCTCTAGGAAAATATAAAGAAAAAAAAGGAGATAAGACACAGATTACCAAGTCAGATAATGAGAAAGGCTGAGTTCTCACTTAACTCTTGGTTGGTCCCTGGGACTTGTTTGCATATTATACGATCATCAGAACCTGAGCTGGTGGTCATTATGCTGAGTCCCTTTTTATATGTCATCGGACATGTAAATTTATGTTTTTAATGTAGATTTTTATTTTTGTAACTCAGTTTCTTTACTGGATGTGATATGTGCTTAAAGTTGCATGATACGCAGGGCGCCTGGGTGGCTCAGTCATTGAGCGTCTGCCTTCGGCTCAGGTCATGATCTCAGAGTCCTGGGAT